TATTCATTACTAACTATTTTATGGAAGCAAACATTTACACAGTAGAAGCCTGACATTTAAAGAAACACTTCAGTTAATCTTTCTGAATTTAAATGATGCTCCTTCAATTGCCCGTTCATCTAAATGTGTGGTTTCTCACAGAAAATATACATATCTAAATACTAATGCTTTAAAAATAAAAGGGCTAGAAAAAAAATCTCACCTTAAATTTATACTTTATAACTGTAGCACAGCAAAAGAAATCATACATTTTTTAGGCATTAGCTTAAATGTTCTGGATAATGCCTTAACCATTCTATCCATTTTGAGCTCCTTGTGAACTGATACCATTAAACACATAGTTATCTCGCATGAAATTATTTATTAGCACAGTGACTTTTACGTGGTATATACTGAGTGTGCTTTGAATGAATAAAAGGAGCAGAAAAAAGCCACCAGAAATTACAAAGAACACTCTTATAAACTTCCAACCAAACACTAGTTACTTTCAGTATTTGGTGACATACAATTACAGCAATAACAGGCATAGTACATGCATGCAAAGACATATGTTACTCCTGTTTAGGAATATGTACCGTAATGCCCAACTCCAGCCTATTCCCTATTGTAAGGAAAGGATAAATTTAGGACATTTATTTTGGAAAGGGATAAAGGCAGCCAAGAAAGGGACACAACACCAGAGGGACCTAAAAGAACTCTGAAGAGGGCTGAGTGTCGGAATAATTTGAGATGTATTCAAATATTTATTTTCATTCATTATAAAAAGGTATCCTTATGAAAATAACTATTAAAAAATGAGACCACCATCATCTTAAATTTACATTTCAAGCAAAACCAGAATATTTGGCTAATTGTGAATAAAATGTCTCATTGTGATTAAAAATGCTGTAAAAGGAGATTAAGGGACAAGAAATCTAAGTTTGAAGATATAGGTCTAGGAATAATAGAAAGGAAACAATCTGTTTTAAGGACCTGGTTGGACGTCACTACAATTCAAAATAAGAAACTGTGGAATGCTATGCCTAACCATAATGGGCAGGAGATAAAAGAAAAAAATCCTGTCTCTGCCACTCTGTTTCTACAGTGGGCATCATTAGCACATGCGTGTAATTGTATGGAAGTAGCACTTCAGAACAAAACGTTACAAAATTTTTTTGCTTTTGCTTTTTAGGAAAAACAACAGAACAACTGGAAATTTCTAGAGTAGCCAAGCTCTGCTTTGGTTTACATGTAAAATAAAAGCATAATATAAATTACTTAAAACCTTATTGGTACTTCACTATTTGCAGAATTCTACAGGTTAGAAAAACAAATGTCTGTGGGAAATAAAAATTTTAACCAATGTTCATAGCAGCACTATTTACAATAGCCAAAACATGGAAACAGCCTAAATGTCCATCAACAGGTGACTGGATAAAGAAGATGTGGTATATTTATACAATGGAATACTACTCAGCCATAAAAACCAACAACATAATGCCATTTGCAGCAACATGGATGCTCCTGGAGAATGTCATTCTAAGTGAAGTAAGCCAGAAAGAGAAAGAAAAATACCATATGAGATCGCTCATATGTGGAATCTAAAAAACAAAAACAAAAACAAACAAACAAAAACAAAGCATAAATACAGGACAGAAATAGACTCATGGACAGAGAATACAGACTTGTGGTTATCAGGGAGGTAGAGGGTGGGAAGGGATAGACTGGGATTTCAAAATTGTAGAATAGATAAACAAGATTACACTGTATAGCACAGGGAAATATACACAAAATGTTATGATAAATCACAGAGAAAAAAATGTGACAATGAGTGTGTATATGTCCATGAATGACTGAAAAATTGTGCTGAACACTGGAATTTGACACAACATTGTAAAATGATTATAAATCAATAAAAAATGTTAAAAAAAATTTTAACCAGTCAGATATTATCTAATTAGATAAATATCAAGTTGCAGTGTAGAATTAAGAGACTATTTAAAATTTACATTGTCATTGTATAATCCCACGTACTACTTTAAAAAGTAGTACTGAAGTCTAAAACCCCCGCATTTATCTAGGCAATTTCTCCACCTACTAGTTAATGTATAAGGAACATTTCTTTTCCAAAAACATTACAGAATTGACATTTCCATGGGCTTTTAAAATTTACAAATCAGAAATCATAGTAAAAACAGAGACAGGAAAGGATTCAGTTAAGCATTAATATGGTCATTTAAAAACCCTCTAAATGAACTGGATTCTGTACTGTGTTCTAAAATGCAAATAAAAGAAATAAAACTTTTTATACCTGACTAATTACTATATATGTAAAGTATCTGTATCCTCTTGTTAATATATAATCTGACTTCCTAATTCTAGATAAACACATGCAAATGCCTGGAAAAATATTAAATATAAAAGACAGACTTGTAATTTAGCAGCTAGATTTGCTTACACATTCTCTTGACATCAATAGCAAGAAAACAAAAGAGACTGTCATATCTAAGGGATCTTACTCCAGTCTCCATCAGCACCCAGAATATCTACCACTTTACGGCATTATTGCAACTGATACATCTAATAAGAATTGCTCTGTGCCATAAACAAGGGTAGTATCTACATATGAACACTAATCAACTTTTAATTACTAAATTTTATTTGCATTTTGCACATTGATGAACAATTTTGAATGATTTCTTATGTTATATGCGTAGCATCAAAACCTAATAAATGCTTAATTCTAACTTTCTTTTTCTATCTAATTTTAGAAGATCAATAATCTAAAAAAGTATAGGAGCGCATTTTGGAAAATTATTACATTACTTATATGTTATTAAATCTTTAGTATAATAATAACATTTGAGACATGTTCTTAAAAATGTTCCAAAAAATATGTAATTCTCCTTTGTGGTATAATCACTCAAAAATAAATAAAACAATACCAGTAATAATATGTAATAACAGAAAATATGTAATTCTCCATTCACATACTTCTGAGTTAATTTTCTAAATGGCAAAGAGTACAGATGATTTTTTTCACTCAAAGGATAAAATTGTGTTCATCAGGGAGCATATTCGTAACCTAAGCTTCTGTTACACGCAAACTACCAGGCTTGTTCCGGTACAAAAGAGAGCTAATAGATAAGTAGAAGAAAAAGATATGTATGAATAACTACAGTTCAAGAACTCTGCCGTAAATGCCATGGAGTAATACAGAAGAGGAGTCATAGGAATTTGAATTAGGAATATATTAGATTCAGCTACAGGATTAAGGGGAGTGTATCCCCCTTTGGGGAGAAGGAAAAATAAAGACATTCTACATCTGTGCAGGGATTAAGGAAGGGAGAGGAGGTAATCTGTTAATTATCAGTGTCCATGCTCCTTAATTATCATGATTTACTGAGCTAGAAATGGGGCTGTCAAGGTATAATGGTAAGGATGGGAGAACGAGGCTGGAATAGAAATTGACTCCTGTTACAGTAATGTCACATACGTTTTGTAGTATTAAAATGGCTATGGAAAACTGAAGTAGGTTAGACTTTAAAAGATATAGATATATCTCTCTAAATATATAGCTGCACTTATAGATAAGAAAGCCTTTTTCTGCATAGTGATAAAAGTCACCTTATTTACTAAGAGGATCCAAACAAAATTTGGAACTCAAAGTCACTTAAGAATGTTAAAATTTACAAAATTGAAGGGAAAATGAACAGTTATTTAAAAACATCTCCCAAAAGTCATGAATAGTACTGAGTAAATCTTTGCTAATTTATAGCCTGATATATACATAATTTAATGTTCCATGAAAGTAGAATCCTCTCTCCAAATTATCCAGAGAAACTGAACATTCATTAGGTCATGTGAAATAATGTACAAGCCATTTTCAATAACAACATACATTCTGAAGGATTCAATTCCTTGCCACTGTTATATGGGTTTCATTAGAATGGGAAAAAAAGTATGGAGGCAGTCAAGGAAAACCGAATAATCTTGACCTATAAAATTATAACTCATAGAAAAATGATTTTTTAAAAGCAAAATAGTTCATTATTTCTAATGGGTACCATCCATCCTGATAGTTTCCATAGCATATTTTCAATATATATAATTCCAAAGGAAATAATTCTTTAAATATTAGGCATGAGACGATTTTCCTTAATATCTGCAGGATAACTTAAAAAATATTTTAGGTTTTTAAAATATAAAAGCCATCCTTTAACATTAAAAATTAACTGTCATTTTTAAAAGGGCAGTGAAAAGTGCTTTGTTTTTCAATATCTGTTAGGTAAATCACTGCAAAACTTTGCAGTCAAATATCAAAGGTTGTAAAGAATTACATTTGCAGTCTATATTCAGCAAGAATACGAAGAGATAATGAAGATTCCAACTGTACATTTCATGTATTATCTTACACTTATGACAACTGTATATTAACACAAAATATTTTTCTCTGCTGTAATACTTTCTTTCAATATATAATAACAACTTAGCCAATAAAACAATAATAAACAAAAAAAGCAGGGCTGTTACATGGACCTAAAAATTCATCAGCAATATTTTCTCAGCTTTAAATGGAAAAAGTGTTGGTTATCTAGCAAACAAATCTTCCTCTGCCAAATAAGAAATCAAGAATGCATATATCCTAACAAAGATGGGTAATTAGGATGTAAACAAATATTTCCAGTTTCTATTATCAGACACAGAAAATATCTGTTGTTATAATTTTAATCACTGGAAAGCTAGTTCCATCTAACAAACAACTTTTGTGTCTGACATTTAAGAGAAAAGGCTTAAGATCCATGCTTCAACCAGCTTTGTGACTATGTCACAACTGCCAATAACAGATACAGCAGCATTTCACTTTACAGTGAAGAGATGCCAATAAAATATAGCCATATATATGTATGTGTGTATATATATGTGTGTGTGCATATATATACACACATAGTGATGCCAACTTCAAAAATCTTAACTGTTAAGCAAAAAGAAATCACTGAAGGAGAATATAAATGACTTACCTTTCGCCCATCACTCGCGTGGCAATTCACATTTAGAGGAGTCAGTAGAGCCATTAGTTTTTCTTCATTACCACTCCTATGAAAAGGTAGTAAGTCAGTTCCTATAAAATTATGGCGCTTTTTATGAGTATTTATGGATATTTTCACAAGAGTGGAAAATATTAAGGGCTTACTTTGATTCCTTTTATATAGTTCTGATTGAATCTCTTTTGCTATGCTCAATTCAATCAATATATTCCTAATTAATTCCTGTTAATCACCATATAATGGTACATCTTGGATAAGGTAGCTGTGTACATCTTTATTTGTTTTATTTACCTGCATAAAGTCACCTTCTTAATTACAAACAAACTTTATTCTGATAAGTGATCTAAAACACTGGAATTAAAAATACATACAAAATGCTGTAAAAAGCTAATCAATTAAATTGTAAATGACTAAGAACAAAAGAAAATCGATGAGAATTTTAACATTTACTTTATGCCCTTCATTCAAGCTTGGCTAGGACAATTTCCAGAGAAAAATAAAGATACAGGTATTTAAATACTCTAAGAATATCATTTGAAAAGCTGGGCAACTAGGGTTTGCAGCTACCTTAAGAAATGTACCAAATAAAATTAACCTTATAATCATCACCACACTGAAAGAGTCTCATTTAATACACTAATCATGCAAAATAAAGTATACAAAGATTTAGCATAAGGTCTTATCCACATTATCACACAAAATCCAAGCAAGACAATAACATAATTTTTATAGTCCTCCACCTGCCCTCCCCTTTTTCTCCCTTAAATGCATTATACTCACTTAAAATGAATGGAATCACTTACCTAGCAGCTTCTAGGAGTTCGTCTTTCTTGTATTCACCTAGATGATTGCAAAATATCATGCTGTTAGCATTTGGCAGGAGACAGATTAAGAAATGCAGTAGGCAGCAAATAGAGAATTAAATAGAGAAGAACAGAAAAAGAGAGTCCACACCCCGCTGGGTGATGGAGCCGTGACGTTAGCCAGCTTGTGAAGGCAGCATCACCAGTGCCTTGGAGACGGGCAGCAAATTGACGCAGCTTCTTGTCCAATCCTCAGATGAAATAGCTTTCTTCAGACGACCAATGAATGCTAAATCTCGTGTCCAGAAACACATTCCCTCTGATAACAGCATGCCAGTTGAAGACAATGTCCCCTCCCCCCTTTTCTATTCAGGCTGTCACAGTATACTTGTGAAGCATAATACATTCTGAGACAAAAGCAAAATAATGTGGCTCTTTAAAGGTACAAATTACTACTTCAAAAAAACCTGCTTTATTTGTAATGACATGGAAGTTTAAAAAAAACATTAATTACCATTGCTGAGCTTTATAGCAGCAGAAAAAAAAATCAGGACCATGAAGCCTTTGCCTCGACAGGGTAGGTCTGTAGACCAGAAATACGTGAACTACGTACCAAATGCTATGAACCCCGTGGAGGCAGCGCTCTAAAAATTAAAACAGTGAATACATCCTTAAATGACAATAATATTCTAATGTGCTGCAATCTTAACACTTTATATAAATTCAATACCAAATTTTAACAAACAGTAAATCTTAAAAATATTTTTAAAAGGGAGACTGGGGTCTCTGAGAAGGAGCAGATATCCAACTATTAAGATGCGGGTAATTTTTCTCCATTCCATTTTTAATACATCACAGACTGAAAATAGGTATATAATTTAAAATCTTCAATACAAATTTTTTAGGGAATTCAAGACCTAACAAACAAGCTTTTGCAAGCACAAACGAAGGATAAGGGACTTTAATAATATACCATTTGTTCACTGAAAAATATAAAGAACAGCCAGGACTATGATTCAGCTATAATATGCTGACTCAGTTTGCCATATCATTAAAGAAATAATTATATAAAATGTCTAAGGAAATGATTATGTGAAAACAAATATTAACTATACAATAAGAAATAAAATTTTAGATTAAATGAAAATTATAATTCTACTAAGAAATAAGTTTAAATTACTTTAAAAATGTTATCATTTGTACTTACAAATTTCTTTGCATTTTGTTTCTGTTTTGCTACAGAATGCAGAATTTTGATGCAAATACTTTAAGGACATCTCACCATCACCAAGAATATGTTTAAATTCTATAGCCCTTCATTAGCAAATTATTTCAGTTTAATTTTTGTCTTGATTCTTGAATTAAGATTTTATTAAAATCTAGAAACTGTAAACAATTATTTTCAAATAAGGAAAAAGTTGTGAAATATCTATTCTCTCCTAACGGAATTTTATATACCAATAAAGTCACAGGTTCAACAACATACATAGATAAGCTAGAATGCATAATTCATGATAAGAGTTGGTTTTCCCAATTTCTCATATATTATATTCCAGATTCTTTAACTAATTGACAGTTTAAGATTTGTATTATTATAATCCCTTGGCCAATAAGGTTCTTGTCTTCCCAAAACCAAAGATCTATCTTTATATTAGATATTTTAGGTGGCAATATGGAAGTGAGTCAATTTAAGAAGCTCCTTCTGAGGAAAATGGTATGACCCATACCCTCAAATGCCTTAACAGTCAAGAGCAATGTAAGTCAAATTATGGAGTTAGCTATAATAATCATTCATTTAGTGAGCTAGCAAACATTTATTTGAAAGACCTATAGGTCAAATTCAAAATCAAAAAGACACTAACATGTCTGAACTCAAGGAATACTAGTCTATTAAATGAGACTGACATGTAAACAACAGATGATTACAGTAGAGCAGGAAATGAATTTCAGGGAATGCTATAAAAGTTTTAAAGGCTAGTCTAAATGGCATTAATAAGAGGCAGGCTAATTTGAGTTCAAGGAAGGTTTCCTGAAAGAGGGAAGATTTGTATAGCTTTTAAAGGAAGAACAGGTGAGTCTCAGGTGAAGAAGCATGGGAGAGAAGGAAGCAACTACACGAAAAGAAATGAGAGGGGAAATGCTGCTGAAGCAAAGGACATTTGCAGGGGAATGGGTAAGGATGAGGCAGAGAAGAAATAGAAAGATCACATGAATGGCTCTTGAAGAAGTTTGCACTTTATTTTGAAAACAATGAGGAAATATTGTTAACAAGGTGAGTACAAAGCATATTTAAAGATCTGTAAGTTTTCTAATTATTTAAAAATATTTCCATAGTCTACTCCAGTGAACTTCTATGGGGGAAGAAAGTGGCCCAAGGAGGAGAAAGGAGGGGTGAAGACAATAAATTCTGACGTAGTTTATATTTGGAGTAGGTATAAATTCTCTGATACATAGTAAAAACACACTGAAATTGAGGACTGAAGGTAGCTAATATTAAAACCTAAGTTATAGTGGAAAAGTGGACTCGTAAGCTAGGAAATAAAACTGCAAAATATTTGGGATCTTCAAAGTTCAAATCAGTCTACTTATATAAACTTCTCATCAAAAGTATAGCTTATTGATGTTTTCTCCAAATGGCACAATATTTGAAAAAAAAAGTTATTCCCTCAAGGATAAGCTGATAATAAACCAAAGCTTTCAAAAGGAAACACATAAGTGCATCCAACAGTGTCAGATCCAGGTATCACAAATGACTTCCTACTCTGTTAGAAATCCCAGTACTTTAATCAGCTTTTCTGCAATACATTCCAACATCCACTATCTGGTGCCCGAGGACCACAATCCATAAACAGTCAAAGCTATTTTTCAAATGCTACATCGCAGGAACAACCAGCTTAATGAATTTAGAGTCCTTCACACACTCTGGCAACAAATCTGAGCTACTTACTTAACAGCCAAACCCCTAGTTACTTCCTTTTAGCTGAGAATCTGCAAATACTCTAGCTGAGACTACGATGCTCTACGGAGCATTTATATTCTTTAACAATATCCAGATGAAGGCTAGCAATAGATATGCCAGAAAGGAAACCAGGCAATTATAGTCAAGGTAATAGCCAGGAATGCAGAAAACAGATGCCTTAAAATATTTTTCTTTGATTAGAATAAAATAAGTGGGCTAAAAACAAAAAAAGCAAGCCACAAAGTTTACTTTCCAAAGTCTGAACTGTTTTTACTTAAACTAAGTATTAATAGGATGCATGTAAAGATAAAATGCACACACACACATACATGGGGTGGAGGGGGCAGGAATATGAGTCAGTGTATTAAAGAGGTATGTTCTCAGAAAGAAGGTTAAAAAAATAAAGGTTAAAAAAAGTCTTTGTATTTCTCTCAGGTAGTTAGAAACAACTTCTCTTTCACTTACTGGGAAGGCAAAATGACTTTCTGAATAAAAAAGAAAACCTGAATCTAAACAGAAGTTGTAATTACTGACTCGTTTCAATTTCAACATCTTAACGGGCTTCTGTCCCTTTCTTCAGCAAATGACAAGATCAGAGTAGACGAAGCTTTCTGAAAATGAGCCATGTGGTTTTGTGGAGATGGAACAACATGGAAAGATTAAGAATATGGAATCACAATTCCTGAAGTAATAAAGGACTAGAAAAGAATTTTGACCTTTCTTTTCTCTACTTTGAAACCCTGCATAAAACATAACTATCAGTAACATCTCTTGTTACATGCAATGAGGGGGAATGTAACTTGAAAGTCACCCTTCTCCTGTCACCTTACCCCTAATTTCAGAATTGCTCTCCTAAGGGATCATCAACATATTCATTTACAGTTAATGAAACTGATGCCAAAGCAATTAAACGAACAGTCTAAGGTTTCACTGAGTATTATTCAGTATCTGTCAAGGCCTGAAAAAGGCTAATATGTGTGCAGAAACTAACCAAATCTGAGCTCTGGAAGAAGTGATGTAAACAAAAGAAAAGAGTAACAAAACAATAATAGCAATAAAACAATTTTTTTAAATATTGACAAAACTATTTTTAAACAGGTTGAACATATTTATATAACATAAGCCAAATATTCCCATCAAAATTGCTTTAAAACATTGAACTTTCACATGGGCTTGAAAACATGCCCTACTTCTCCCAAAATAAGTATATAAAGTTTATATTTTAGTTTTGTTTTAACATTTTGGATGAAGGGACTAGGAACGGAGAAAATTTATTCTGGGTCTATTAAAATGATCAATGCACTTTGCATTTCCCATAGCATGTGTTAATTCCTCATGCTTTAGGTATCTCAAGAGAAGGGCTACGCAAAGACTTCAATCAAGTTTATACTGTATAGCACAGGGAAATATATACAAGATCTTGTGGCAGCTCATGGTGAAAAAGAATGTGGAAATAAATATATGTATATTGATGTATGACTGAAAAATTCTGCCTTACACTGGAAACTGACAACATTGTAAACTGACTATAACTCAATTTAAAAAAAAAAAAGAATCTCAGTTATATAGTTTAGGGACCCTTACGTTGCTGAGTGCTACATGGTAACATGAATTGGTAATTCTCATGTAGGTATTTTCTCATCAAGGTACCAGCAATATATGAGATGAACTGATTCCTGTAGCTGAACTGACAGCTATGGGGAATAAAATATTAATTTAGGTGACAATCCATTGTGTTTTCACTAATAGATTTGAAAAATTAGAAACAGCTATGGAGTTGTGGAAGGAATTTCACTGAAGCACCAGGGAATAATCTAATCTCAAAATGTTAAGCTAGGTCTTCCACCAAAAGCATATTTTCAGACAGACTGATACCAATGATACATAAACATGACCCCAGGAATGGTCTGAATTCTCTTTCCGAAATTATTTTTCAAGTTATTTGAATGATTTAATTCAATTAATCATGAATTGAATTATTATTTCTCTCTCAATCTTTCATGAATATTTTCAGGGCAATTTGGGAGGAAAATTACAAGGTATTAAGAGTTCTCATGCCTTCTTCCTAGTTCTGAATC